CTTTGCTACTGATGTCGATATTTCTACTTTGCAGAGATATAAGTGAAAAATGTGACGGATAATTTTTCAGCGCTAAAACGAGCATCATGTGTAACTGGTGTCTCTCTGTACCATCTACGATAACAATCGCAGACAACTGACGGCGCGTACCGCATCATCTTATTTCAAATTTTCTTTAGCTAAAATAATTAATAAATCCGCTGATATGTAAGTCTCATCATGTTATTGTTATGCGAGATTAGAGCGATAAATACCAGTGTGAATTCATTATTGCTGTCTCCTCTATTTGAATCTTGGGCAATGTAACAGAATTAGCCATACTTAGCTGCTCATATGTTAGACTTATTGAAGGAACAATATTTCTTTTCTACATCAAAACTTTGCAGAATCTTTTGTAGAATCTCATTGTAGTAATCTTATTTGTAGTTGTATTGTGATAATATATTTTCTCTCATAATAAATTACAATAACAGTGTACAAAATGAAAGAGAGAGAGTGTGTGTAATTATTATGACTTAATTACTGCAGGTATTACTATATATATTATATATAGATGTTTCTGAAGTAAGTTTATTTGTGGCTGTATATCAATTTACAAAATAGGCAATCAATCCTTGCAAAAAATTATATTGTTCACCTTGTGCACTGTCATTTTAATGTATTAGGAGAGAAAATATATTACCATACAAATACAAATGAGATTCTGCAAATAAGTTTTGGTACAATAAAGAAATGTTCTTTTTTCAATAACATATTAGTAGATAAAGTAAAAGTGCCGATACCCGGATATATACCTAAACTTGGAAATTCTTATTATTTTGATTTTTAAATATGAATATTTAAATTTTCGATCATAATTAATATATATACATACATTTAATATACAGGGTGCACGATTTATCTGAAGACATTGAAATATCTCGAGAACTATGCATTGGATAAAAAAAAGTGGTTAATGAAAGTTATTAGTCTCGAAGGGGGACATCCAATGATACCAAACTCGATCTCCCACCCCACCCCCTGGGGGTGGGGGTTGGGGGTAACTTTGAAATCTTAAATGGAAACCCCCATTTTTATTGCAGATACGAATTCTACGCTACAAAATACGTAAATTTTGTCCGAAACTTTTTTTTTATTCGTGATAGATGGCGTTGTAATCGCAAAAAATTATATTTTCCGCAATTCTCCAGAAATGATCATTGGATTGAGAAATAAAAAATACCTGTTCAATATTTTTAAAGAACATAGAGATGTTCAATATTTTTAAAGAACATACATAAAGAACATTTTTAAAGAACATTTTAAAGAACGCCGGATTTCTTTCTGTGGGGTTACCCAAAAGATAAGGTTTATCAACAAGTGCCAACAACTCGTGAAAACATGGTAGAACGCATAAGAAACGCTTTGCACTGAAACTCCCGCAGATATGCTTCTATCCTGTGTACAGTCATTTGAAAAAAGGATCAATAAGTGTATTGAAGTTGAAGGTAAAAATTTCGAACACTTAGCAGGTGTGTCGATAATTCCTTTCCGGTTTTTTCGCTAAAGAAAACACGTTATTTACAATGGATAGTTAAAATACATTTATTCAAAGTATTGGTCATTTGATTCTATACATTTTGCCCATCTCTCAGGCAATTTATGGATGCCATTCCAAAAGAACTGTTTCTCCTTTGAGCTAAACCATTCATCGAGCCATTTTTTAACTTCTTCGAAATCGGCGAAGTACTGCTCTGCAAGCGCGTGCCCCATCGATGCGAAAAGGTGGTAGTCGAATGGAGCCAGGTCTGGAGAGTACGGCGGGTGCGATAAAACTTCCCATGTAAGTGATTTCAACACTTCTTTGACTGGTTTTGCTGTATGAGACGGCGCGTTGTCATGCTGCAAAATCATCTTATCATGTCTCTGAACGTATTGTGGACGTTTTTCGATCAATGCACAGTTCAAATTGATCATTTGTTGTTGGTAGCGATCAGTATTAACTGTTTCTCCAGGTTTCAACAGTTCATAATATACAACACCAACCTGGTCCCACCAGACACAGAGCATGGTCTTGCGACCAAAGCGATTTAGCCTTGCAGTCGATGGGTCGCCTTCGCCAGGTGATAACCATGATTTTTTCGCTTGGGATTTTCGAAATAAATCCATTTCTCATCACCCGTTACTATTCGATGCAGAAATGACTTCCTTTCATACCTTTGAAGCAGCATTTCACTGACGATTTTTCGATTTTCCAATTGCCTGTCATTCAATTCATGTGGCACCCATCTTCCCATCTTTTGGATCTTTCCCATCGCTTGTAATCGTTCACAAATGGCTACTCGGCTCACATTCAACTTTTCTGCCAATTGCTTTTGAGTTTGTGTTGGGTCTTCATCCAATAACTCCTGCAATTCCGCATCTTCAAACGTTTTCGGCCTACCAGGACGTTTTTTGTCTTGAACGTTGAAATCACCACATTTGAATTGTCGAAACCACGTTTCACATGTTCTTATGGTTGGAGCATGCTCACCGTAAGTCTCTACCAGCAAACAATGACTTTCAGCGGCTTTTTTCTTTTGATTAAACAAGAAAAGTAATGCGTGCCGCAAATGCACGTTTTCAGGTACAAAACTCGACATTTTCAAAAAATTATTAATCTATAACACTGTTATTTTGGCGGAACGTAACTTGTGTAGTTTTGAGGTTAATGTCAGTAGAATAAAATGACATATGTATCAAATCATAACATTGCATACTTACGGCTAGTGACATCTGTTACAAAAACCGAAAAGTAATTACCGACATACCTGGTACTCTAATTAATTGAACAGTGAGAGGCAAGGGGACTCACATTAAAAAAGCACCCGAAGGGAACATAAAACTACTACGTCCTCGTCGTTGTTCCTGTGTAACGCTAAAAGTAGTTTCTCGGAAAAATTCAACGCTATCTATCACGAATGAAAAAAATTGTTTCAATAAAAATTTCACGTACAATCTAATTCTGCAATGAAAAATGTGGGTCCCCATCTGAGATTTGAACGTTATCACCCACCCTACCCCGAGAGGATGGGGGGAATAACTTTTATTATGTTCTTTAAAAATATTGAAAGGTATTTTTTATTTCTCAATCCAATGATCATTTCTGGAGAATTGCGGAAAATATAATTTTTTGCGATTACAGCGCCATCTATCACGAATAAAAAAAAAGTTTCGGACAAAATTTACGTATTTTGTAGCGTAGAATCCGTATCTGCAATAAAAAATGGGGGTTTCTATTTAAAATTTCAAAGTTGCCCCCAACCACCACCCCCAGGGGGTGGGGTGGGAGGTCGAGTTTGGTATTATTGGATGTCCCCCTTCGAGACTAACAACTTTCATTAACCACTTTTTTTTATCCAATGCATAGTTCTCGAGATATTTCAATGCCTTCAGATAAATCGTGCACCCTGTATATATACAGGGTGTTTGATAGCTCATCATGCAGACGAAAGTTGGAGATAGATTGGGTGTAGCCGAGAAGAAAAGTCATGTACCATAATGTCAAATTGGCAATAGTTATCGAGTTATTAATTAAAACATGTGAGCCAACGAGCGCGTAGAGAGAGGAGGGCGACCGCAGTAAGCACATAGACATTTGATACAGGCGGAGTCAGCGAGTGGCGATAGGCGAGCGCGCGCGGCGAGGGGCAACGTAAACAACAAGAGGCGAACGTGCGCGACGAGGAGCGAGCGAGCACAAGCGACAAGAGGCGAGCGAGCGCGACGAAGAGTGAGCGAGCGCGAACGACGAGGAGCGAGCGAGCTATAAGGAAAAACCTATAAAGAAAAAGCTCGCTCGCTCCTCGTCGCGCGCGATCACCTTTTGTCGCTTACGTTGCCCCTCGCCGCGCGCGCTTGCCTACCGACACTCTCTGACTCCGCCTGTATCAAATGTCTACGTGCTTACTGCGGCCGCCCTCCGCTCTCTACGCGCTCGTTGGCTCACATGTTTTAATTAATAACTCGATAACTATTGCCAATTTGACATTATGGTACATGACTTTTCTTCTCGATTACACCCAATCTATCTCCAACTTTCGTCTGCATGATCAGCTATCAAACACCCTGTATATTAAATATTATGTATTCTATGTTGAAAATTTAAATATTTGCATTAGAACAAAATAATGAGAATGTGCAAGTTTAATGTCCTATGACATATGTATATATATATATAAATTATAAATTAAATTAACTATATATATATATATTAATTATATATATATATATATATATATGTGTGTAGCTAATTTAATTTAAACGTAATTTTATTGAGGACACGACATGTGAGGTTGTGATTGGTAGGAGAGACTGGGGACAAAAGTAACATTTTTAATTTAAGATCGTATAACTGTTAAAATATAATATCAACATAAAAATGACCTGTACCTTTAGATGTAGCATTTATTTGACTACAAAAATATATTATCGTGAATTCCTTAAAGTAATTAGGAAAAAAGTTATTACTGTCTAAAGTATATGAGGAATACTGTTACAACCGTCCCAACCCCTGGAACGATTGTAACAGTACATGGGGATAATTGTACAACACCATTTATAAGCAAAATAATGGTTATTTATTAGGTTTGATTAAATAGGCTTACGAACTTTCTATAACAAATGCAACTCTAATGCTAAAATAATTTGTTTACATGACAATATCTCAGCATATCTTCACATATTAACAATAAAAGTACAGAATACTGTGTTCAACTTAAAAACTTTTTTATCATATATATTTAAACAAATCAATCATAATAACATTAGAAAAAAACAGAAAATAGCTCTTTCCTTCTAATAATTAATACATAAAATTAAAATAAGGGAAGTAAATCAAATAAAAACGGAAAATAGCTCTTTCCCCCTTCTAATTAATATATGAAATTAAAATAAAGGAACAAAATCAAATAAAAACAGAAAATAGCTTTTTTCATCTAATAATTAATATATAAAATTAAAATAAAACATAAAAATCTATGTTTTTTGTTTTATAACGTTACTACTAGTCTTGTTTTGTTTACTTCCTAGGTTCCTTAGATTCTTTTTAACTTTTTTCTTTTCCTTTTCTTCGTATTCAATCTGTATATTTTCTTTCTCTGGTATCTGTGTAGATGGCTGATTTTCTTTTTTTCCTCCCTCTTATTGTTATTTTTCTAGCAGGAGCTTTGGGAAAAGGTCGAATATTTTCTGGTGAAAATACAGTAAGAGTAACATTGTCTGATCCTTGTTGGAGTTCTACATTGGTCTTGGTTATTTCAGAATTAGATGAAATAGCAGAATCAATTGTAATCGACATTCTTTGACTTTCATTGTCACTGTTTGTGGACATCTGAAGTGCAATTTCATTTCTGCTGGATGTTTGAGGTTCAGTATCAGTATTTGTGGATTGTGAACTTGCATTGGAGTTGAGAATATTTGATGGAGGCATTGGTCTATCCGTAACATATGATGGAGCAAAATCTATATCAGTAAATTTATGCCTGTTAAATGGAAATATCCCAGTACAATTAAATCCTGCCTGAATATTACTTTGGGTAAGTGCTACAGGCAAAGCTGTTTTTACAATTCCTGGAATATGGTAAATAGTCATCGTTTTACCCGGATTGCTTCTCGTCCAACTATCACATGCAAAATTAAAAGCTTTTTTAAAAGGCTCATATACTGAACGATCCAAGGGCTATAATTTATGCGAACAATGTGGCGGAAACGAAAGAATTACAATACCATTCTCTTTGCAGAAATCCAAGGCTTGTATACAAATATGGGAAGAGTGATTATCGAGCAAAAGTAACACTTTATGATTGATTGATGCATTAGCGTATGTTTGGAAGTGTCTTAGAAATATGAGGAACTGTTCTTCCTGCATCCATCCATTGGCATTAGCAGCTCCGATACATCCTATAGGACCATCTCTCACAAAATGTTCTTGATATCTTAGCCGCGGGAAAATGAACATCGGAGGAATAGAATTTCCAATGGCATTAACAGCCATAGTCACTGTAACTAGTGTTCCACGTTCCGCTGATGTCAGAGCTGCGACTTGTTTCGTTTCTTTCTTTGCTACGATTCTGTCAGGTCGTTGAACGGTAGTCACACCAGTTTCGTCGACATTATATATGTCTTTAGCTTCGAAATGATCCCTATCCAATACTTTCTCCAGATTGTCGAAAAACAAGTTTACATTAGTAGTATTAAAACTCGTTGCTCTAGAAAGACTAGTCGGTTGTGCACATCTTATTGATAATTCTGGATGTTTCTTCATAAAAAAATAGAACCAATCCACGCTGGCTTGACAATTTTCGTCCCATTGAGGTCTTTTAAAATTATATTTATTGACCAGCTCATAGGCTAATCGCCGAATTTCTTTAGACGATAAACCATAGCATATTTCGGCAGCTCTTATAATATATTCCACCATGAGTTTTTCCTGGTCCGCGGTGAAAATTTTATTGCAGCTTTTATATCCCATGGTAACAGAGGATTCTATGTAACCTTTCTCATTTGCAGAATCTTTCTTCCTTTTATACCTCATTAGAGATACATGACACAAGTCATATTTCTTTGCCGCTGTACGAATGGATAATTGGCCCTTCATAACCTCTTCAAGAGCTTGCTCATATAACGACATTTCTTTTGTACCTCGTTGAGTCTTGCGTACTCTTGTTCGCGGCATTCTACGAAGAAAAATACTAATAACATTATAGAAAACAACACAAAAAAACCAAGAAAGTATAGGTTATGTTACGTTAGGGCTATGTTCCGATATTCACTGTCAGGGCCCTGATTCTTGATGGTGTACGAATGAGAATATTGGAATATAACCAGGTTAAGTTAGGTTAGGTAATACGACTCGTACTGTACGGGGACAATTGTAACGTTATATCTGTCCCCAGGCATTAATGTTACTATTGTCCCCTACTGGTATTTTATGATTTATAGTCAATTTTATACATAAATATCTAGACGGAGGTCAATTGCAATATATGATTCATCAACATAGATAATCACTAAATCATATTAGGACCATACGTTATACCTTCGCAATAAAGGAAGAACAATATTTCAGATTTTGTGCACGCAATAAAACTTACTTGAGACATGAAAAAGTAACATTTGCTCCTGCACACGTGCACGTTCCGCGAAGGCCGGCAGGGAACTAACGAACAAATGTCGATTGGTCTAACGAATTTCGCCTCGCAACCATAACCACATATATATTATAGTTTCAGAAATATTCACGATGTTACAACCGTACCCTGTTACTTTTGTCCCCAGTCTCCCCTACGTACGACGTACGTACGACATATGACAACGTCTTTCGACTGATTGTAAACGCGGCTTAATGAGCGTGCAATCGAGGGACCAAAGATACGAGAGAGTTTCAACCACTAATCTTTTTATTAGCTGCACTGATTGAAAAATCCTTTTGCATAATGAAAGTACTTATAATAACGAAGTCTGGAAAGCAGAGTTTTAAGTAAAATTCGACAAAAAATTTAACAACTACAGTTTCATTGTCATAATATTACTCTACGCATGAAACAGACAAGGATAGTATGATTGTGTCTGCCTGCAGCTCCATTGATTACGATTATGCGGAACTAATCTACTGTTCTGTTTTATCCAAAAATGTAGCAAACACAATTCCGTATGCATTACATTCTTCTCAAACACTATTCTTTTTACACTGACTTCTGAGCTCATTTCTGTTATTTCAGTATTATTCTTTCATATTATGGCTAGTTCGGAAGCAAAATCTTTTGCATGGATAAACTGCAGAACTTTTATAATTAATAAGTAAAATAACGAGCTGACACAAAACATGATAACGAAACTGTAATTTTGTAATTTTTCATTGAATTTTACATAAAACTTTGTCTTCCGGACTTTGTTATTATAAGTACTTTCGTTGTACAAAAGGATTTTCCAATCTGTCCAGCTAATAAAAAAAATAGTGTTTGAGAAGATTGAATCAATGTGTCGGTAAAACAGACGACTCCAGGATCCCCTTAACAATTTTGGGTCATAGTGCGTTGAACTTATAATGAGAAACTATAAACATATTAGGTATACAAATAAGTTCGGTGCCTTTTTTACATTATTTTGATATTTATTTACAAATACACGAAAAACATGTTAATTTTTGAAATAGTCCCCATTATTTTCGACACATTTCTGCCATCTTTCAGACAATTAGTGAAAAAAATTTGCGGTTTTGAATCGATAAAGTCCTTAATGCTTTATTCGATATCCTAGGGCAACTTTACCTGGGAATCAACCAGGTGATGCTGCAGTGACCGGAACAGATGACCCAGCAAACACAGAATATAACTGTTATATAATATAGAAGTAACATATGATATAATATGTTATACTCTACTTATATTGAGGTTATATAATTTGGTTTTATAATTGTAATATAATTGTGTTATATATATATGTTACATTGTTTGCTATAAGCTGGAGATAACATTATAATAATAATATAACAGTAATGTAACACGTTATATAACAATAATTACGTTCATATTACATTGATGTTATATAACACAATTATTCATGCAATCCATTAAAAGCTGCAAATGCTTTCTATTGCGAATAAGGGTGTATTCCGATACAGAAAGAAATAGCAAAGCGCAACAGTAACAAATAAAAGAAATGGTGGGAAGTTAATCAATCAGAAACCCCGTTCCACTTTTCTGTACATGCTTTGTTGTGACGTTGTCTATGTTGTCTATGTTTTTATGTATTAGGAGTACAATAAGTTTCCGCCGTTTTCTATCAAAAATTAGAAATTTATTGTAAAAGAACGATACATTACGTTTTATTCAAAGTATTGTCCATCACTAGCCACTACATTTTCCCATCTTTCTGGCAGCATTCGGATACCACGTCGGAAGAACTCTTCATCTTTTGAGGTTATTCACGAATCGACTCAATTTTTAGTATCTTCATATGATGTAAAGCGCTGCTTAAACAGGCCATGTGCCATCGACCGGAACAAGTGATAATCGGAAGGGGCAATGTCTGATGAATACGGCGGGTAGGACTTCCCAATTAAGTGTTTCCAAATAGGTTTTGACCGGTTTTGCAACATGTGGCCGAGCGTTCTCATGTAGGAGAATAATTTTGTCGTGTCTGGAGTAGTTTGGGAATAGTTTGGGAGTAATGGGCGCGTTTTTCCTTGAGTGCTCGGCTCAATCTCATTAATTGTGTTCGGTAGAGAGCTCCAGTAATGGTTCCGCTCGGTTTGAGCAACTCATAATACACGACACCAAGCTGATCCCACCAAATATACAGCATGAGTTTTTCGATGTTGAAGCATGGCCAGGTAGTCCCTATGATTTTTTTCTTCTTTGGGTTATCGTAGTGGATCCATTTTTCATCACCAGTGACTATACGATGCAAAAAACCCTTTCTTTCATGCCTGGCAAGCAGCATTTCACACGTGCAAAATCGACGTTCAATGTCTCTCGGCTTCAGTTCATATGGAACCCAATTTCCTTGTTTTTGAATCATTCCCAACGATTTTAAACGATGTAAAATTGCTTGCTGAGTCACTTCTAATGTAAATGCAAGTTCTTCTTGTGTTTGGCACGAATCTTCCTCCAATAATGCTTCCAATTCCGTGTCTTCGTACACTTTCGGCCTTCCACTACGTTCTTTGTCTTCCACGTCAAACTCACCGTTTTTAAACTTTTGAAACCACTCACGACAACTTCTCTCACTTATAGCAGTCTCACCATATGCTTCTACAAGCAATCGGTGCGCCTCAGCTGCAGATTTCTTCAAATTAAAGAAGTAAATCAATAGTTCCCGCAAATGACGCTTATTCGGCACAAAACTTGACATTTTCGCACGAAAAAAATTATGTGATGCTGATATAGAGTCACTAATACTTCAAGGTTATGTTGCTACCAGATGTCCAAACTTACGATATTATGTTTTACATGTGACAATTTCAACATAACCTTCTGGTGGGGCCATCTTTTGTCAAACGGCGGAAACTTATTTGTACTCCTAATATTTTTAATGCCTTCATCACACTTAAGCAGACGATACTGCCTATTTATATTGACGTTTATAATGCATCCTGATATATATATATATATATACAGGGTGGACCATTTTAACCTTTAATGGAGAATAACTCGACCGGTGAGCGAAATAATGAAAAAAGTTTCATACAAAAGTTGTTGGACAAGGAGGGGGACGTATGACCATATCCTTGAATTTGACCTTGACTTTGACCTTAGGGGTTATTTGAAGGTCAAATAACATTTTTTAAATGGAATTGCCTATTTTCGACCCCGGATTTGGAAAGAGCGGGAAATTTTAGAATAGGATATGGTATGATCGATAAGATCAAATTTCATGTTTTGAGGTCATTTCAAAGTCAAAAGGAACTTGTACGTGTATTCATGCGAAAATCGTATCTGTATACGGGGATTTCTAAATTATCTTCTACACTTAGCATTACCCAGAGACAACGACGTGGACGTGGTAGAATTCTGCCTCTTTCGGGGTGCTTGTTTAGAGTGAGTCCCCTTGCCTCTCACTATGCATACTTTGCTATTGTTAATCTAGCTATTCAAAAGGTTTTCGAAAGTTGCACCGTTAGCATTTATGCAATAGTTGAGCCTTCTTTGGAAATGGGCCACTGTGCTGAGCAAGACATTTCGTGGAATCGCTTCGTCTTATGCGATTTTCCATATCTTCTCTTGTTGTTGGTTCTTCTTTGAAAACAACTTCTTTCAAATAGCCCCAGAGATAAAAATCGAGTGACGTCAAATTAGGAGAACGAGGAGGCCATGCAATCGGACCCTTTCGACCAATCCATCGGTTCGGGTACCTTTCATCTAAAAACCTCCTGACTATACGTGCAAAGTGCGGTGGTGCACCATCCTGTTGGAAGAACATCCTTCGCCTGGTTTCCAAGTCTACGTTCTCCAACAAATGAGGCAATTGGTCTGTGAGCAAATCGAGGTACGTATTTGCATTCACAGTACGTTCGAAAAAGAATGGACTGACCAAGTATCCATTAACAATCAACGCCGCTGGAGCCTCAATGTCTGGTGCGGGATTGTTAATGGATACTTGGTCGGTCCATTCTTTTTCGAACGTACTGTGAATGCAAATACGTACCTCGATTTGCTCACAGACCAATTACCTCATTTGTTGGAGAACGTAGACTTGGAAACCAGGAGAAGGATGTTCTTCCAACAGGATGGTGCACCACCGCACTTTGCACGTATAGTCAGGAGGTTTTTAGATGAAAGGTACCCGAACCGATGGATTGGTCGAGAGGGTCCGATTGCATGGCCTCCTCGTTCTCCTGATTTGACGTCACTCGATTTTTATCTCTGGGGCTATTTGAAAGAAGTTGTTTTCAAAGAAGAACCAACAACAAGAGAAGATATGGAAAATCGCATAAGACGAAGCGATTCCACGAAATGTCTTGCTCAGCACAGTGGCCCATTTCCAAAGAAGGCTCAACTATTGCATAAATGCTAACGGTGCAACTTTCGAAAACCTTTTGAATAGCTAGATTAACAATAGCAAAGTATGCATAGTGAGAGGCAAGGGGACTCACTCTAAACAAGCACCCCGAAAGAGGCAGAATTCTACCACGTCTACGTCGTTGTCTCTGGGTAATGCTAAGTGTAGAAGATAATTTAGAAATCCCCGTATATAGATACGATTTTCGCATGAATACACGTACAAGTTCCTTTTGACTTTGAAATGACCTCAAAACATGAAATTTGATCTTATCGATCATACCATATCCTATTCTAAAATTTCCCGCTCTTTCCAAATCCGGGGTCAAAAATAGGCAATTCCATTTAAAAAATGTTATTTGACCTTCAAATAACCCCTATGGTCAAAGTCAAGGTCAAATTCAAGGATATGGTCATACGTCCCCCTCCTTGTCCAACAACTTTTGTATGAAACTTTTTTCATTATTTCGCTCACCGGTCGAGTTATTCTCCATTAAAAGTTAAAATGGTCCACCCTGTATATGTCCCTACAAAAACGTACATCGAATCTACGTGGAACGCATTTGTTGCATTCATGTGGAATCTACAAAACCATATGCATTTCACGTGGACACAACATTCCTGTTTTCGTGGGGACATCCGCACTTATTCTATTTAAACGTTTAAGAATGCTTGTATATCATATATATATAAACTTTATTCACTTCAGCATACATTACCAAGAAGCGGGACTTGGTTTACAATAATCCTTATCTCACTCATTCCTACACTCATTTGCACACTCTACACACTCTACTCTACCCTCTCT